TGTTTCCTTCTTTGTTAGGAAATAGTCTATATAAATGTTTATTCTCATTTCAAAACCCCAAAAACTAGAGGTATCTAAAATTTTTCCATCCTTTTCTATAGACTTCAGTGAACAAGGAGGAGTGAGCAACCAAATTTCATCCTGACATGGGATCTGGAGATCCAGAATGGAATTGATTGTTTGGAAAGCCCAGTCATTGCCTCAGTAGTGAGCATGCACTAGAGGAACAGAGTTTCATTTGTTGAAAAGGTGTACTTGAATATACTGGGTTGAGCATGAAGATCGAGAACTAAATAACTAGGTCACCTCTACATACTGCAGGTAATGTGGTAAAAATAATGAATACAGTAATGTACTGTAGCTTAAAGATGCAAAACAAGAATTTAATCTCTGTTTAGCTGGCTGTTATCCATCATCTTAAACAAATTTTATGACTGTGGTGATATGATTAATTTATTCTGTAACTAATGGTGGTTCTGAGATAAAGTGAGTGGCATTCGGCTGGTCAGTTCATCTCAATGAGGTGGCCAGAGTGAGGAAAAACCACCCTGATGAATAATAAAAGCTTTGTCTAGAATATGAATGTCTTTATCTTATGTGAGTGTGAAGGATTTTTATCGTATTTGTCAAATGTATCAATTCTTTACCAAGAATAACTTTAAATGCAACATTATTAAAATACATTGAAAATGAAGTAGAAAATGTCAAACCAAGTGCCATTATTGTAAACAAAGATAGCACATACAAAACCTTTCACACACACACACACAAAATTGATAGACATACTCTTCAGTGAAGATTAAAAAGCAGATTTAAACATTTTATAGATGGCAATACAGTGGAATATGTCTATAATTAATGTCATGAACTACACCTGTGGTTACTCTGCTAGGACACCTAAGTGAACTTCTAGGGAAATCGCTTCCTATCCCGTATATACGGCACTATTTATTTGAGGGGACAGTCATTTGTAGTGATGTCCGAAATCATATTGCACATTATTGAGTGCACTCATTCAGTCCCATAATGCACTGCAGTAACGAGTGTATACAGCTGACGTGAACTCAGTGGCTAGCCGCTAGAAAATGCTCATGAACAAAGGGTTTCGCTGAAAAATTCCCATGTCTCATATAAAGATGGCTTTCCCAGCCTTTTGGCCACACATAGTTTCTGAATTCAAGTGCACTATATTAGTAGAGTAATTTTGCACACGGGATTTTGCCAGAGGCGGACAGTAGTGAAGTATTTTTACTCTGCTGTAAAAGTACTGACTTCCATGATGTTTATTTTCTTAATATGGAAATACTGTTTGGTTCTTCAAAATATCTTCTTTTGTGTTCAACATTAGAAAGAACAGGTTTGAAACGGCATGAGGGTGAGTAAATGATGACAAAACTTTCATTTTTGGTGATCTATTCCTTTAAGGACTGTTCCACAGGTGCAGTATTTGTTTATGGTTCATTGAATGACATTAGATAACGGAACATACCAAACCAAGTGGTGTCTTTAAACCAATGATACTAGAGCTTTTGTTAGAACTTAACATGCACATTTTTGGAGTTGCCAACTGGCATCACTATTTTCAGTAGATGTTTGCAGGTTGTGTGCAAACCAGAGGCGGACAGTAGTGAAGTATTTTTACTTTACTCAAGTAAATTTAAAAAGTACACTCTAAAAAATGCTGGGTTGTTTTAACCCAACTTTGGGTCAAATATGGACTAACCCAACTGTTGGGTTAAATTTTTCAATTACATTTTTAACCCAAAAGTTGGGTTAGTCCATATTTGACCCAAAGTTGGGTTAAAACAACCCAGCATTTTTTAGATGTTACTTTTTAAATTTACTTGAGTAAAGTAAAAATACTTCACTACTGTCCGCCTCTGGTTTGCACACAACCTGCAAACATCTACTGAAAATAGTGATGCCAGTTGGCAACTCCAAAAATGTGCATGTTAAGTTCTAACAAAAGCTCTAGTATCATTGGTTTAAAGACACCACTTGGTTTGGTATGTTCCGTTATCTAATGTCATTCAATGAACCATAAACAAATACTGCACCTGTGGAACAGTCCTTAAAGGAATAGATCACCAAAAATGAAAGTTTTGTCATCATTTACTCACCCTCATGCCGTTTCAAACCTGTTCTTTCTAATGTTGAACACAAAAGAAGATATTTTGAAGAACCAAACAGTATTTCCATATTAAGAAAATAAACATCATGGAAGTCAATGGGGACCATCAGCTGTTTAATTTCCAGCTTTCTTCAAAATATCTTCTTTTATGTTCAACATAAGAAAGAAACTCATACAGGTTTGGAACGACATGAGAGTGAGTAAATGATGACAAAATTTTCATTTTTGGGTGAACTACCCCTTTAAGGGACTAACGATTTACAGGCCGTGCATAATAAAGGTCACAGTTATATTAACAGAAGACAGGAAAACGATGCCCAGGGTCTCTGCTTACCTGTGTGAGCATGCTATAGTCCTGCTGCAGGGAGGCATAAGGACTACAGATGATAAACAATTACAATAAACTGCAAAGTCTGTAATGTAAGACGCCTGCAGTGCTTCAGGAAGGACAGCTGAACATCCTTGCAGTGGCAAACCACATGTAAACATGCATCCCCCTGGACCTGTTTAAGAACTTGCAAGTGCCTTGGTGGAAGAGTGGAATAACATCTCACGGCAAGAACTGGCAAATCTGGTGCAGTACATAAGATGCACTAGTTCTTAAAGCAGCTGGTGGCCACACAAGATATTCACTGTGACTTTGATTTTGTTCAGGGACTCATTTTTCCATTTCTGTTCATCAGATGCCTGTGAAACTTGTTCAGTTTATGTCTCAGTTGATGAGTCTTTTTATGTTAATACAAATATTTCTACATGTTAAGAAATTTAAGTAAAAGCAGTTGAATATGTTGAACTTGTTAAGTGTAAATTTACTGTTACATGTGCCTAAACTTATGGTCCACACATAGATGCTTCATTTGTCCAGTAAAAATAGCAATGCATTTTCTGGTTTGGTTTGTCATGCCATATAATTTCTTTACAGTGTTTTAACATTGTTGGAGTGAAAGAAAAACAGAAGCTCTGTGCTCATCACATTCATAAACTGCCATATATTGACACACAATAAGGAAAATAGTTGCAGGCTGATAATGCAGAGGACTCATTGTTTGGCTGTTTTGTCTGTTGAGAAGGTGAACTGTGCAGTTCATTGTGTCATTGTGTCAGCATCTGAGTATGCCAGACACTACCTCTCTGTCTAATTCAGTTCGGCCTGCTGGCTAGTGTTGCTCGGTACTATACAGGGTCTGGACGGATAAAGCAAACAATACCCTCAATTATCCGACAATTCAAGATGTCTAATGGAAGAAACAAAAAGTTTTAAGAAGCACATCATATGATATGATGGGACAGACAGTCAGTGAAAACACCAGAGCAGAATGGTGATATGACAGAATCTCAGGAGGTTAAACAGAAGTCAAGCAGCAATGTTTTGGACGCTCTCACTGGGGACATGTCGAATATGCAGATTGGAGGTTGTTAGAGAGGAGGTGGCAAGGGTTGAGATTGCTGTGGCCTGAACAAGAAGCTTATTTGTTGAAGAATGGCCTTGTTAGACGACATTGAGAATGAAGCAGATATAGACATGTGTGACAATTGTCATTGTGTGGTCCAAAACATGATTAACACACACACACACACGTTCAAATATAGGGTTCTTGAGTTGTCTGTGTAGTTCTTTGGAAACATCTATTGGTTCGATGTGCCATCGCCTTTCAGGGTTCTTTGAAGTGAAAATATAGAGATGGTTTTCTAAAGAACCCTAGAACTAGAATGGTTCTACAATGGCATCATGGCAAATTAAAAAGGTTTTCCTAATGGATCAGGCTTTAAGAACCTTGTGCATGGTAACTCCACGCATTTGAACATACCCGACGGCATCAACAGTGTGACCATCAAGTGAGAAGTTTTGATATGGAAAAAAAGAGCTCCATCTGGTTTTGATTGAGCTATAAAAGTAATGGGTAGTCACCTAGCTGATTTCAAGTTTTCTGTCTACATAATATTATATATTATTGTCTTGATAACTAATATATACATGTAAATGTTTTCAATAAAAGTACTATTTTTTTTGCAATAATCAGATAAACAAGGGAACCATTAGTTGGGAAGGACAGAAGTTCACCAAGGCCTTGGTTATTCTTAATTCTCTAAGAAATGCCAATGTCAGGCTTATGGGAGAAGCTGCACTTGATCATGCAGACATTTTATTTATAATTCAATAAGAGAGGGGAAAAAAAGAGAGAAGTGAGAATTCTGCCCAGGTGTCTGATCCTTTCTTCACTGCACACAGATGATATGCTCAAAGAATAAAGCTAAGTATGGTAAAATCCTCAGGGCTTTTCAGGAACTTCATTAGAAACTTTCTCATGATGTTTTGGAGCCTTCAACTCACTGTAACATTAGGAAATCCTATTTCAAACCCCTGTTAGAGAATAGCGGCTTTATCACAAATGTCTCTTTACAGCAATATGCAGATTCCATTTTCAGAAGAATGAAATCAAACTCAAAGCTATACAGGATTTAAAATACTTTACCAAAATCAAATGTATTAAAATATGCAGTGCCACTTGAGGGACTGTGCTGTTACGAAATCACAAAGTTTGTACATTGTGGTCTTTTAATTTAAAATAGTCCTGCAGGCAATAACATCTCATAGATCTGAAATATGCAATGCACTTTTTTTTTTTTGTATCATTAATCTTAACTCGAACTGAGACATATTTTGACAGAGCATGGCATATTTTAAAATGCTGTACAAATGTTCTAGGCACCACTGAGAATGTTTTGTTGCACTGAAAATCCACTATATATATAAAATATGGATGTAGTACATGGTAGGCACAAACAAATAAAGTATTGGCAGGATTATTACAAAACAAAACAAGAAGAAAACATTTGCGTTCAGTTTACAACTACAATTGTCTTTAGCATAAATTATGGCATTATTACGTCTTATGGACCATTTGGTGTTTGTCAACAGCAGCATGGAAGAAATCCTCTGAAGAACTTTCTGAATTCAGTGTTGAAGACAGTGTAGATAATTGGGTTCAGAGCACTATTCACGTAACCCAGCCATGTCACTGTGCTCATCAGGTCTGGAGAGATGTGACAGGATTCACACAAGGCTCGTGTAGTGTGAACTACAAAAAAAGGAGTCCAGCAGAAGAGGAAGACACCTGCGGGAAGATCACACATCATGCCTCATATTTGCACATCATGTCTCATATTCATTATCGAATTAAGGCACAATTGGTGCATTTTCAGAGCATTTTCTAGAAACTACTAAACAAACCTTACATAAAAGAATACAAAAATATTTTCAACACAAAACAATTAATTTTGCTTTGCTAATTAAGTGTTTTTTTTATTAAAATAATTCCAGTTCCTCAGCTTGTAAAAACAAGCAAAATGTTCACATACATTAAAGGAATAGTTTACCAAAAAATCATGTAAATGACTTCATTGAAACTGACCACAAGTGGACCCTCTGTAGTGAATGGGTGCCGTCAGAATCAGAGTCCAAACAGCTGATAAAAACATTATAATAATCCACAAGTAATCCACGCAACTCCAGTCCATTAATTAACATTTTGTAAAGTGAAAAGCTGTGTGTTTATAAGAAACAAATCCACCATTAACACATTTTAACTTTAAACTGTAGCTCCTAGCCAAAATATTAGCCCATAATTCATAATAACACTTCCTCCAGTGAAAAAGTCCATCCTCTGTTGTCCTCACATCAAAGTCCACTGACATATTTGTTTAGAACTGTTTTTGCTAATAAACATTGCTTGATCTGTGCTTATTTCTCTCTTGATTCAGGCGAGTTAAAATCAGTAGCAGGGCTCGCAAAATTGCTAGCCCGACGTCCCGGGGCTATTGTGTTTTCCAGTCGGGCTACCAAAATGTATCACGACTTTGCCTGACGGGCTATCTTAAATGCAGATCCTTAAAAACTCATAAAGTGAGTTGTATCAAACTTAAGGCCATAAAAAGTTTTAAATACGTTAAATGGTATAAGAAATGTCTTAATTATAATTTCAAGAGGTCTTACAGTTGGGGACGGAAAGACAAGAGTCGCGATACGGCTGGATTAAACTTCAAAAGGCAATGATTGAATAAATTGAATAAATATGAGCGCTACACGTGTCAAGTCAAAACGCGGCGCGGATGTCTTTATTTGAATGTATCTGAAGGGAACCGACTGTCCTCAGAAATGTGTCGTTGGCATTTTAATTTAATTTTACCTATAATTCCTGATAAAGCAGCGTTTATGAGCGCGGAGCTGCTTTGTGTTACAGCCGTTACCGGGGAAACCACATTATTTCAGCGTTCCTACAGCGCCACCTCGTGGCAGAGAATGAATTTGCATTTCCAATAAGCCTTTCTTGCTGTTTATGGTCAGATCAGTGCAAATATCAACTCGTGTTTTTACGCAGCAAACACATGGATTTGGAAATGAGAAAGTAGTTAATGTGCCTTCTAAAAATCTAAACAATTAAGACAGTAATATTTATACGTTTTAAATTAACAATAATTTATATCCTTGATTTATCCCTTCTCATAAAAATGGTCTAAAGGCTGAAGGTCTTTTTTTATTTGGGCTAGTTAAATTAATTTTCGGGGTACCAAAATCTGAAGAATACCTGCCCGAAGGGCTACCAGGGATTTTGAAATTTTGCGAGCCCTGAGTAGAAAGCACTATTATAGATAGAGGATTTATATTTTTTTGTGGAAGCAATAATTTGAAGTTAAAAATGTCTTCATGTTGCATTTACTGATTACTTTTCACTTCATAATTCATTCATTAATGGACTGGAGTTGTGTGGATTGCTGTGATGTTTTTATCAGCTGTTTGAACTCTTATTCTGACGGCACCCATTCACTACAGAGGACCCATTGGTAGGCAAGTGATGTAATGCTAAATTTCTCCAAATCTGTGAAGAATAAATTGATGAAGAAACAAAGTCATTTACAACCTGGATGGCCTGATGGTGAGTAAACGTTCAGCAAATTATTTTTTATTTTTTTTGAGGGAACTATTAAATTATTAACTATTCACTTACAGTTGAGGTCTGTATGGGCCAAAACACTGCACTAGAATAAATGTTAAAATCTACACTGTCAAGACTTTTAACATTACATGAGATTAGTGTGATAAGTTTTATTAACATTTAAGTAAGTGTCATGACCCTTTCTGGTTCAGAAAACCCATAAAGACTGCATGAGAAGAACTGTTTACACATTTTACATAAAATCCACCCACATGAATTCCACATAAAACAGTATTTACACTACTGAAAGGACAATTTATACCACTTCACTGCTTAAATAACTCACATTTGTGTATGGCTAATTAATACAAGTGCTTTCAACAAAACTAAAGCAGCATCTGGATCTGCTTTTTAACCTTGCAGAATGCCTGGTTCATTACTGTAAATGTGTTTGTTTGTTGTTGCAAATTTGATGGAATTCAAAATGATTTTCTGTGATTGATGACAGCATGCCATAACAATCCCAAATTACTCCATTAATAGGCAGAACATTGTAGTCAAGAGTCCTGCTCCTGTTCTGATAAAGCAAAAAAAAAAAAAGAGCAGTCCAGGCTCAAAATATTCATGAATGACTTTAAGAGCTCTGGAAAGCTTTGGATAACCCAGAAACCTGCAAAATCACGGCTATTAAGTCTGCATTACGCAATGCTGGCATAAGAATGTCTTATGAAAGTGGCCAAATTATGTCAAATCAAATGTTATGAATAACATGTGAGACAAAGCTACACATATAAATCAACCTCATGTATATTATAGATATTAATGTGCTCCTCCAGTGGCCTCAGCTCTGCTGAATTATTAAAGTATAGTAATGGTATTTCTATAAATACCCAGTAATGGAGTTAGAATAAGTTTCAGATCATCTACATAACTTCAATAAGATGTTTCTGTGATGCAAAGAAATGTTTACATCTTTGGAAATGTTACCTCTTTCCCCACCTATTGCTTTAGGCCCTATGAATCCCCATGAGGAGGTGAGTTGCACATTCTGTGTACAATACATTTGGAAATGTCCTGTTGTTACCTTAAGGAGTAATTTAATCTATAGTCATGTATAGTCATATTAAATAAGGTTTTTGACATGAATAAAAGGTGTTACCACATAAAGCACAACTTTATATAGTTTATATAATTGTATATAGGAGAGAGTGGGGTAAGCTGTGCCAGTTTTCCTTAAAGGGATAGTTCACACAAAAATAAAAAAAATCTGTCATTATTTACTCATTCCCATGTTGTTTCAAATGTGTTTGACTTTCTTAGTTCTGTGGAACACAAATTAAGATATTTTGACAAATTTATGTTTTGTGTATGTGTGTGAGAAAGTAAATTGGGTCTAATATTGTATGGACATTATTTTTCAAAATATCTTCTTTTGTGTTCTCCAGAAAAAAAAGAAAGTCATATGAATTTGGATCAACATGTGGGTAAGTTAATCATTACAGAATTTAATTTTTGGGTGAACTATCACTTTAAGTTTTGAAGCAAGTAAAAATTATAAAGATGAAACTAATGTAAAATTATACTTCATGATGTCTGCTATGAACAAAGATTACAATAGAATATAATATAATATAATATAATATAATATAATATAATATAATATAATATAATATATAAAATTAGTGCTGTCAAACGATTAATCACATACAAAAAAAAAAGTTTTTGTTTGCATAATATGTGTGTGTTCTGTGTATATTTATTACGTATATATAAATACACACACATACAGTATATATTTTGAAAATATCTACATGACTATATTTATATTCATATAATTTATATTATAAATAAATATATTTAATATAGAAACAGCATATTTTTCTGAAATATATACATGCATGTGTGTGTATTTATATATATACACATAATAAATATACACAGCACACATACATATATTGTGTAAACAAAAACTTTTATTTTGGATGTGATTAATCGCGATTAATCATTTGACAGCACTAAATATAATATAATAATATGAGGTCATAGAAACATTATAGAAATAGAAATAGCTATACTTTTCCCTATGGATCAGCTATGATTTAATATAATGAACAGGTTTTCAACAACAACAACAATAATAATAATAATGAAGAAGAACACAGGTCTAATCTTTGCTATTATGTCTCTGTGTTAATAAATGGTGGCCTGGAAATGAGGTTAAGGCACCAGGTGAACCATGACATCATAATTGGATAAGAGGGATTTGCCTGTAGTTCATTTTATCTGTGTGTTCCGGGGAATTGTAAATTCGGTGGCAATTTCATTCAAAGTTTTGAAGCTTATAACTACCTGCACACAATAATTCAACTGATTTGTTGATAAAAGTTCAGGAGCATTTATTAAGTTGTATTTTTATGTCTTTTTCATTCTACTTTTTGAGGTCCTTAAATGAGTTATATATTATGCACTTTCAACTCCAACAAGACTGAAACAGACAAACAAATGCACCAACGCTTACCCACAACAACAGGTAAAACCCTCATGGCTTTTCTCTCCCTTCCATTGATCTTAGCCCTCTTCTTTCTCTGAGCTGGCTGGCCATATTGAATGTCAGAGTAGGCCACAGTCTGAATGGGGCTGTTTTTGTACTCAGGTGGGAAGGGGCAGACGGGCTGTGTGAAGTCATCAAGCTCCTCAAGACTGGACTGGGCCAAGTCCCTCTCAATGACCCGGGGCAGAGACGCAGGCAGAGCCCCCAAGGGCGGGAAGGCGGCAGCCACTGCAGCATGCTGTAAACTGCGGCAAGCCTGGATACCGTTTCTCAGTTTGACTCTGCGTGATTCTTCCCACTTGCGCAAGCCATGGAACATCCCAAAGTACAGTAGGAGCATAATGGGACATGGGATAAAAAAGGAACATACAGACGAATAAACCACATAATTGTTGTCTTCAAGTTTGCATTCTCTGGGGTCTCTTTGAGGAACATTGTTTATTCCGAAGATGACAGGAGATGCCACAGCCAGCGCCAACAGCCATGTAGCAGAAAGTAGTAGAATCTGCCGATAGTCAACATGTTTCCTGTTGTAGTTAAGTGGTATGGACACTGCTATGAACCTGTCAACAGAATGCATATTGAAATATACCATCAGTACAAACAGAAAAAAAGCATTCTAAGCATTATGATCACAACAAAGCCAAAGTTCAGACTCAAATGGTCCTCAAGCAGTTTTGCTTCAGGACCCAGATAAAACAAGAGTAAACAAGTGTGTCCTTTAAATTAAACAGGAAACAACTTATTAATGTTATCGTGAGCTGCATTGGCCCAACAGTATGCACAATGATTAACATGAATGCTGAAAAGGAAAATCATTTTTTTATTTTTACATTGTTTTATAGATGGAGTGTTCGGTTTCATGTGCTTAATAGCCAAAAATTCACTGCACAAAATATATTGTGGCTACCAGAACCCATATTTATTCTGGTTGCAACAGAACCCATATTTAAATTAGTCTGGGTCATATTTTCTTTCACTTTTTGCATAGTTTTGTTCATGGACTTTGATGATGAGGGCATGTCACGCAGTGTAGCAACTCATAATAACTGCACAGAATGTAAAAACTGCACATAATGTAATAAGTATTACATTATTATTGTAATAAAATGTTCATAATGTAATAATTTTCTCAAAATGTAATAAAATCTTGAGCTAATAACAATGATTACATTATGAGAAATTTATTACATTATAAACTGACCAAAAATATTGTAATATTGTCATAATTATATAATTATACTTATAATAAAGTATAAGCAGCCCAGTATAAGGGACACTCAAAATATTTGTGCTGTTATTTAGCCTATGTGTATAATATATAT